ACCGCTCTTTAAAAAGTCCATATTCTAAAAGTGTTTGCGGACCAAAAAAAACTATATGATTACAAAATTATTAGTATCTACAAATATTCATACAGATTATTTAAAAGCCACGCAAAAACAGATGAATATCTAACTTTCTTTATCCTTCTTTTATTTATTTATTTTTTCGCCATAAAGCAATGTCTTAGAAAAATAGAAATTTAGATTGATTCGATTTGAACATACCACAATAAAATATTTTTCCTTGATAACAAAAGTGCAAATCAAGTTGGTTAGCTCTTAATTTATAGACTATTATTATTAATCACTAGGTGAGGACCTGCTATATGCGTGTTGTGTATTGATAACATTTATGGTAAAGATAGCATTTTGGATGTCGTATTTTTCGTATAATCTCGTTTTTTGCAGATCAAGTTTGTGACAGTTTTGATTTTGTTCTTGTTTTAACTACAAGAACAAGAACATGAATATATATACAAGAGGGTTGTGTATTAAGGAGTGTTATCTAATTTGGTCAATCTATCTTTGTTTGGAGATAACAGGGCTCAAACAATATAAACACTCATGGGTTGTCTAAAGTCTCCACAGCAAAAACACAACTTCATGACTGCAATAAGTCGTATATCACTTCCATTGATCAAGAACATCAATTGTTGCCATGTGATTTACTGTTGTTTGTCTACTCTCGGTCGTGAATTCTACATGGTAAAGATCTCGGTCACGTTCTTATAGCATTCTCTGAAATTTGGTTATTCTTTACTCCACATAGACCTCTGAAAAAGATTTAGGTTGATCATGAATGAGATATATGTATCTTAAACTTGGAGATATTATAATTCTATTCCTTGTGGTACATGAAAAGTGACATATGATATATATAAAAACCCGAATCAATATTATCCAAATTGATTCAATCTCTTATACTATTGATGTTCACTTCTCATATGTCGCAGTCTATTGTTGAAGCGGTTGCTAAACATTTCTATGAAATTGCATTGGATCAGTACGGTTGTTGTGTGGTTCAACAATGTATTAGCCACTCTCCTGATGAGGTAAAGCAATATTTGATCGTCGAGATAACCCTCAATGCTTTGACATTCTCCAGTCACTGCTACGGGTAAAGCAAGAAATCGATCAAGATCTTCCTTAAATGAATACTAATCACCCCATCGTTTGATTCACAAGTTTTCTCTTCCAAAAACTATCTGATTCAGTTTGTGGTGTCCGAACTAGACGATGGAAGAACAAAAGATCTTCTGAGACAACTCAGAGTATATTCCTCATCTCTGTCTCGGGACAAGCACAGAAGTCATGTTGTCGAGAAGCTTCTGAAAGATTTAAGGGAAGAATATTCCAGAAGAATCCAATGGAAGGTTCTTAGAGACACTCATACGCTTCTTGTCAACCCAAATGGAAACTTTGTCATGCAGACTATATGGAAAGTATCTCAGGTATATTTACTCTTATCAGAAGAAGAAAGATTCAAAAGATACATTTTCAGTACGACTGTCAATTTAACCTGGCCCAAGTCCACACCTGAAAAATTTCGAGTTTGAGGTCTAAATTTTTTATTCGAAAAAATTCAAGTTTTCGAGTCGGACTCAAATTGGGATTCGAATCGACCCAAAAGTTTGAAATAATTATTTTAAAAAAATAATTTAACAAAAAATTAAAAAAATATATTTGGAAGAAGAAATTGAACGAGTCAGTCGGGGTTTCAAACTCGAATCCAAATTTTATAGGGTTGGGTTTCAGACTTAGTTATATTGGCACGGAAAAAATCGGGATGACATGAGTCAGAACACTTTCGGGCTGAATGCAAGCACGACGATATACGAAACATATTGAAGGCATACATTTTAGAGAAAATTCAAGTAATGAGATGCAACAAGTTTGATAAGAAAGTGTTGAATAAGATAAAATTTTTCTGAAGTTGTTGTTTTTTAGGCTTTGGCACGAGGAAGACGATTCTTGGTTGTTATTTTTTTTGTCATGTTGTTTTTTTATATGTGATTCTGTGTCGTTGTGTCAATATATATCAATAATATTGTTTTTTAGGGTTTTTATTATTACGAGGAGAGATTCGTTCATCTCGCGAGATATTTTTGTTATTATTAATATAAGTTGTTTACTTTTCATTATGAAAATTCGTTAATATGAATATAACACAAATTATCTTAGATCAATGTATATATATGAAAAAACGAAAAAAAATGAAAGAATTTAAATATCATTATATTATTATATTATAAAATTATTCTTATATTGAATAAACTTGTTAATGCAATTGTATATATTTTAACGATCAAGTGTATGAATGTATATTGTAGTTGGATATTTTCTGTTACATATCTTTATACGTTGTGTTGAAAAATCTATTTGAACATTTTTAATTAAATAATATTGGAAAAACGTTGAAATAATAAGTTATTCATAATATTTCCAATTAATTTTTATATAAATTATTTTCAATTGTAGTTTCTTGTATTAGTTTAATGGCCAAATTATAATGATATGTTAGTTATGGACTCGATTTTTCATTTGATGGAATGTTGATGATTTGGCAATGTATTTATTATTGGTTTTTTCATCTTAATAATCTTTAAATTATGAAAAATTTATAAGTATAACTTTAATTGAAATTACAAAGAGACATTTAAAACAATAGATAATATATTCAAAACAAACCCAAAAGATGAAAATGTTTTAATCGAGCAACAGTAATAAATTTTGTAATCAATCATTAAATCATTGAGATAGTCATAATTTTATATATATACAGAAAAATATAATAATGAGAAAAATCGAATGAAATAAAATATATAAATATAAATATATATTTATAGCATATTATGTGTGATATTTGCGAAGATAGTGGTTTACTTTTGAGATATTTGTAGTATAGAAAATCGATAATATATATTTTTTGTCAATTTTTTATTTTTTAAAATGTGACCTGGATGTAACTATCATTAAATTTTTATCCGGATTCGATTCCAATAACTTAAATAATCAAATAAGTATAAAAACAAATTTGTTTTGTATCATATTTTTATATAATTTATTTTATTATTTAATTAGAATAACGTAACAAGAAACCTGCTTTAAGGGCTTGAACGTAGATTAATAATAAGTGAAGTATTTACAGACACAGTAAGTATACTACATACAATTTTGTTTTTGGATTTATAATACAACAGTTGTAGAAGGAGAGAGTGAAGCATTGCATGCTCTTCTGCACTTTGATCTCTGAGATTCAGAGCCTCCAAACAATGGCTTCCTCTTATTATGAACAACAGTTACTGTCCCTTCAAAGCTAATCAAAGCAATAACACAAAAAGAAGCGTAAAAAAAATGGCAAAATGCTTTCAATTCAACCTCAGATTACTGACGAGAGGTTCGTTTTCATACCTCTCACGTGTATTTCCTCAAGTTTCGTTTCGCCCGAAACTGGCCAAGCTTGTCTCTCCACTCAGCTACAAAATCATGGAGTGAAGACGCTTACTGATCTCGAATCAAGAACAAGAACGCCAAGCATCTTGCTTGTTCATACAGAAGCTAATAATACATTAGTGACAACCCCATCGAGGATCGAAAAATCATGGATCCAGGTCATTAAACTTATGTTCATGCACGATTACTATCAGATGCGCAGTAATTCTCATCGTTTAGCCAAAGGGGTTAGAACTTAGAAGCAGATAGGAAAGATTTAAACATCTTATCGAGATTTGAGTGGGTCAAGAGACTAAGAGCTTACCAGCTTCGTCGTACCGTTCTTCATCAACAGCTTGCACCAAGTTCCTCAAAAGATTGAACTCTTTTGTATCAAGACAAGGCTGAGAACTTGGACTACACGCGAAAAGAAAAAAAAACAATGTTACATTGCAATAATAGTCAATTCTTCATCAAAAGAACATATTTGGGACAATTATTCTAAAGTGTTAGTCGGAGAATTACTGGTCTAAGTCAGTAAATAATAATCCATCTGAAGGACGTGTCTGAGCCAATAGCTTCCCCGATTCAATCACCCGCATCCCATCACTATAAGCTAAGAACTTGTTGACTTGAATAGGTACCTACAAAATGGGTGATACTATGAATGGCAGCCCGATTATACTTTTAGTAAGAAAGAACAAACCAGACAATGTCATACATACCTTGCATCTCACAGCTATATTGATTGCATCTGAAGGCCGGAGGTCAAAGCTGATGAAATTAGATGTGTTACCCACCTGCAGCGCAATCCAAAACAGTCTTAATTAAAACTAAACTGAGTAGTTAGATTATTAAAACCAAATGGAGCATGAAAGTAACATAGTAGGCAGAGGTTACATGCCTTTGAAAGGTATAACTGGGCGAAATATGCCTCGTGAACTCTTTTGGTGACTCTAACAAGTCTAACCTGCAAAAAAAAAAGGGTTTGAGATTTTTCATGAATACCATCTTGCGGAATGGATGAGTGTCGAGAGAGAAAGAATACAGAAAAGGGGCAGAAACAGAAATCACAGGACATACTTCGTAGCCCATCTTGTCGACCATCTCCTTCACCACTTGATACATAGTGGGTCTTGCCTGAAATGGGTAACCGAAAAACCATCAACTCTCTTCTCATAACTTTTAAAGATGCGAAAGATGGAGAATACATAGTGGGAAACAAAACCCTACAATTTGGACATTAGTCAAAGCAGCCATTAGCAAAACACTCGGCATCTCCACTGCAATAACAACCAAAGAAAAGGAACTTAAAGGAATGGAGAAGCGGGAATAAAGTCACTTTGCAATTTCCAGAATTGAGCTCTTATGAGTATGTATACAATGTACATACACACGATAATTGGAAGGAGAAGACCGGTTCCATCTTCCATTTTCAAGACGATTGCAGGGTGCGGAGCATAATTCGGTAGATGCCCTCCTTGAGGATTGTTATGAACACAGCGTAGGTGCCTGCCATCCCTCATCTTCACCGTGAAACCATCAGCTCCACTCTGTACCTCAACTACACATAAATTCCAAAGACTACATCAAATGGCATTAAGTCAGACAAGAACTTCACATACAATCAAGAGCACACTGCTCGTCCTCACACGAGGATCCAGAAGCAAATTGAATTATCACTGGTAATCATCATTTTGACAAATGAACGATGACCAAGCAAACATCCTGTTTCATACAAAGAGAGAACTTAGGTTTACTAACTGGTTTAACCAACTTACCAGCTTCCACCACACTAGAGTTAACATACTCTTCGTCGTTTTCGTTGAAATTCTCTGCGGTGCTCCCAGTACCATCAGAATGTGAACTGAAAACACATTGTATACTCTTGCATCTTCGAAGATGCAACTGAAGATGGACTGCAGCAGCCTGGGTCTTGACAATTTTTGCAGGACTACCCAAGAATCGATTTCTAATAAACCTTGTTTTCGAGCCAGTGTAGCCGACAAGTGAAGCACAAGCATTCACTCGTCGGGGATGAACTGCAGGGCAAACAACCGGTGCATGAAGAGACCTCATCTTTGCTCCTTTAATACAGAACTGTAAAATGCAGAACAAGGAATTTAGTTCTCGTTAACAATGACCAAATTTAACTTTAAACAATCACAAACCACAATAACTGAAAGAGATATGAATCAAAACACGATAAAGCCGTCTCTATCACCTCGTATCTAAAACAACTGAAAAAAACATAATTAGATTTTGAAACACCTTAGAAACTTGAGTTTAAGTATACAAAACATGCTCAAATCTGTTGTTGTGATGTTCATGAGCTATATGTATACAACCTATGAGTTCAAATGCATACTTGTGACTGGTTTTTATTCCTGTGTCCCGAAACACAGACTTAAAATCATAAGCAAGCTTCAACAGAACCAGTAAAATCATAAAATTTCGGTTTCAAAAGTCTAGAAGTATCCAGCATTACCACAACCATGATCCTAAAATTCAACTTTCAGATTAAAGTTGTTAGATCAAGAATCAAGATCGTATCCACGAATATATATATATATATATATTTATTACATACAATTATATGCACATATATGCAAGCACATAAACAAGCTAGACTTCGCGTAAAACACAACTAAACCCCCCAAAAACTTTTCCAAAACGCCAAAACAATCAAAGGATCGGCAGATTATGAATCAAAATAGTGAATTCAACACACAAACAAAGAACAAAAAAAATCAATCTCCATGATGATCGAGGAACAGAGGCGATTTACCTACGAATTCGCGACCTAACGCCGGTTTTCCCGGAATTTCAGAGTCCGAGAAAGATAGATCAGACGATCAGAGATGGATTATGGCGATCAGTGGAAGACGAGCAATCAAACTCGATCAGATCGGTCGACGAAGTTCCTAACGAGAGAGAATCAAAAAGAAGGGTGAAGAATAATGGGAAGAAGAGAGGAGAAAGGGGTTCTTCACTTGGCAGAGATCGTAGGTGAAAAAGAAAAATCTCCGTCACTTTATCGACCGATGTTTGTTTCAATTGACGATTTTACCCTTATCCAAATTACTTGCATTTCCTTATAACCAACCATCCATTTCCGTTAAATTATTATGCAATGACAATTAATTATGTTTTACAATATAGAATACGCAGTAAATGATTGATAGTGCATATATATATATATAATTTGTTTCCGAAAATACTTGTCAGACGAGAATCTACCAGAATTTCAGGATTTACTTACGTATATATATATATGTATATGTATATATACGTACGTTTCCTTTCTGATAATTTAATTTACTTTATAAACAGAAATATATCTCAAAACGAAACAATCTTTTTTATATAAATAGAATTAGTAACAATAATACATTGACCGAATTATACGTAGAAAAAATCTAGAAGATATAGATACATACATATATATGTATATATAGTGGTTGATTTATTCTTAGGTGATTTATCCAAAAGAGTGGAAAGGAGAGCATGCCACGTGTCATTGACTATACATGGCATGCTTTGGATAAGGTAGAAGAAACAGCAAACACTCATGGTTTTCTTGGTTCCTCTCCGTTTTTGTCAAAACAATTAGAATTTTTTTTCACCACAACTTTATTTCATTATCATAAATGGATTATAATTTGTGCAAATATAAGTTTACCACTATTAATCCAATTTGGCCTCAAATTATAATGAATCTCAAATTAAAAAATGTTCATTTGTGAATAATAATAATAATAATAATAATAATAATAATAATAATAATAATAATAATAATAAGGAAGTTTCTAAATCGGCCAATGTAATTTATGAACAGATGAGTTGAACCAACTATAATATATGATTGAATTACCATTTATTATTACAATGCTTCTATGTATTGTATATTTTATTTAACTTATTAAATAACATAAAAAAACATGGTAACATATTTTATGCTAATGGTTCTATATTCTTATATTTGTAGATGTACACTCATGACTCAACCAAACAGTGTTGTATCCAGAAAATTTAATCAAGATAAAAATATTTATTTATATATATAAAGAATAATTCTTTTATATAAATTAATGATATAATTACGTATAATTTAATAGATACATATACAAATATCGAAGTCAAGGAAAATGACATTCAAGCAAGTGGGATCTATGATTGCAGCTTGGGAGTCATTTTCAAAAAAAAAAGTTGGAAGGATTGCCCAAAATAATATTTAAATATCTTCCAATCCAAAATTGATATGTAAATGGCTTTAGAAACATTCCCTCCTTATCCAATTGCATTGAACTCCCGACAAAAAAATATCTATTTATTTTCCAATTTGGATCTTTTGTATTTTGCAATTACAACTTACAGTCATGTTTGCGATTGTATTATAAATTCGCTTACAACCAAGGTCTTGAATTAGAATATTATCGAGTAAAATTACGATTACGGTTGAATAAAACGGACGTAATTACAATCGTAATTGATTGATGCTGCATATTGTGCAAACAATTTTATATTTAATTTCATTAAAAAAATTATATTTAAAACAGTGTCTAATGGAATTTATCTCAACAATTGCTGCTAAGTCAACATGGGTGGTTCCTTGCCGCTGTAAAGGCCCATAAGTAGGCCCATTAAAGGCCCATGTTTCTGTATTAGGATATAAATTGGGCTTAACACACACACATATATATATATATGCATGTATATATCCGCTTGAAGCTAGATTAGCCAATAATAATTATTTTATATATAATGATTGGAAATATTTTAAAAAATAGTGAAATTCGGATGAGCGTATATATATATATATATATGATAAGGTCTTCTTGCGATATTTTTTGCGGCTTTTAGAGATTCGCTGTCGGTCCTTGCACTCTCCTCCCTTTCCTCTTTTATTCCTTCATTTATTTCATTTTCCTCCTTTTTTTTTCTCAATGTCTTCCCTTTTTTCATAATTAAACAAAATTCCCAAAATTGACGGGATAAACATTACATAGATATTTGGAAAAAAAATTGTCATGTTAATTACGGTTCATCATCTAATATAAATTCGAACCATAGATCTCTTTTCGATTATTTGGTACCGATTCTCTTTTTCTACGTGTATTTCAAAAATTGGTTACGAATATATCTGGTTTTTGCTTTATGATCTTATGTTTGATTTGTCTATTGGGATATGGTTTTGATACCAAATTCTAATATTCTTTGTTGGTAATGCATATGCTATTTCCTCGACAATATATAAATACACTATAAAGGGCACTATAGTGATGATGAATCAATACTCTTTGGTGCATATTCTCGTTACCTAAAGCTCAAGTTTGTAAATTAATGTACATTGAATTTGATACAAAATACAACAAAACTGATAAATAAGAAAACTAAATTAATTGATACTTTCTCACAATATCTGATTCGTTTGGAAAATGACTTTGTATACATATATATATATATATATATATATATCAATGTTCATTTGATTGCTTTTTAATTGAAATGCATGAACCTTAAGCCATATTTATAATGCATCATTCCTCCCCTTTTTGACTAATTTGTGCATACGTAATTGTCTTTTCTTTCTAATGAAAATGGCGATTCGTTTTTGTGGATGATCGTATAATGTGTCCTGTTCTTTCCTGCTCCAAATGTGAGGCACGTTGATTTGACAGCAAATTAATTCTCTTACAAACGGATCTTTCTGCAATTATTAAGAATATTGGGAGGAAAATGAATGAACGAAGAAATACAAGGGGCTCCTACCATGCAAACATCTTCAATTAGACACTCAACGGACTTTTTCATTTGGCATACTAATTTTATGATTTGCAAAAACAATCCCAAATAAGGTTTTCACCCTTTGTTAAAACTGGTTTAGGGTTTCGTGATGATTTGATCAAATGCTACTCCTAGTGTGAAATTTGCTGGTTACATATATTTTCTTTTAAAATAAGCTATACGTTCACAAAGTAAAACGAGAATGTCATCGTTTGGCTTTTTGTCTTCAATTTTTGTCAATTCCAGATTTCACTTTTTAAATATATAAAAAAAGCCTTTCTATTGAAAAATAAAATAATCACCAAAAAAAAAAGAAAAAAAACACAGTGACATTTTTTTATTTTTTTTATTTTTCACAATGACCAATTTCATTTCAGTTTACTACGGTAAATGAACTCTAACCCTGGATACGGTGGGCATTGGGCAATTTGTGTAGGTATGTATGGCAACTTCCACGAAACATAATTTTTTCGTTATGCATGCATGCATGCATGCATGTATGTATGTATGTATGTATGTATGGCAACTTCCACGAAACATAAGTTTTTCGTTATGCATGCATGCATGTATGTATGTATGCCAACTTCCACAAGGGTTGGAAAGCAAATGAGAATATATATATATATATATGTGATGACATTTTACCAAAAAGAAAAAAATACATGATGAGAAAGAAAGGGAGATAAAAGCGAAAGGAAAGAGAGAGGCAAAGCAAAAAACAAAACCTATGAAAGACTTTGGAACACATGTGATTGTGTGGAGATGTTAGGCAAATTCAGAATTAGTCAGACAGCTCTTTCTTAGCTCCTTCAAGCTGTTTATTTATTTATTTATTTAGCTTTGATTCAATTGCACACACCATTTTGTTCACTGCATGCATAACCTATTATGCCAATTTTGTTCTCTACATATATATATATATATATATACATGTGTGTATATATGTTATATATGTATGGTGATAGTGTGAAAGAATCTCACAAAAGATGGGTATGCGTGATATACCTTTGTAAAAGCAACCATGACAACTTTAGTGTTGAGGTGAAGTTTGATGTTTGTGGTAACCCTCAAGTGGGGGGTTCCTTTTTGTAAAACAAGTATAATGCTACTTTCGATTCTTTCTTCTATTTCATTTTGGTTTCACACCATTTCTTAGAATACTTTTTATTCTTATATATCAATCGTAAATAGATATTTTTTCCCAAAAAATACGGAGATTTTCGGTATAAGAACATATCCTATACATTGAACGAATAACCAAGTTTTCTTCAATTTCTCACTTGTGTCTAGAAAAATCTTTCCTTACTTGATCCTAAACATGGAACGATATTGTAGCACGAGAATAAAGTCTTGGACCTGGTATTCCATGATTGGAATATGATATCTTATGTCTGTTTTCCACATTAATATATAATTCAATATTGTGACAAAAACCATCATAAACGAAAATTTTCTTTTATTCACAAATCTTTAAGAGGGAGAAACAAAAAAAAATATACTTATTATACACACTCGCGATCTCGCTATTGCAATATGCATTTTTTTTTTGGAAAATTATAACAATATCCTAGTTTATGATTGAAATTTATATTTGTTAGTGCACATGTTATTTTGGTTGTTAAAAGGTTGTTGCAGGTTCAACAACTTATGAGAGATTTCAGGAGAAGAATCCGGCGAGATAGTACTCGAGTAAATCTTAGGTGCAACTGACGAGATTCAGATAGAATCAAAGGTTGAAAAGATGAAGTCAAAAGTTGAAGAGATAGAGTCAAAAACAAGAGATAAGATGAGATCTTGAAGATAGAATCGAAATCAGCAAGAATCAAGGAGAAGTCGATCCAATCAATTGGTGAAGATCTGAAGATGAACCTAAGGAGTTTAAATAGAGAGTCAAGTGTATATCAGCTCTTTGGAGAACATGAGCATATTTTCCTAGTTTATTCTATTCTTTGAGTGGTTTCTCATTATTTGGTGGGTGAGTCCGAGAGGGAGACCGATTGGGCAAATATCTTTTCTCTAGTGAGTGATTCATGTTGTGAGTTTTTTTAATCAGTAGAATTCATTGTGAGAGGGCAAGAAACTCAGGGGAAGTTTCAGGTGTGTAGTAAATACGATTCTTACAACAAAAAGTCAGTTGTACTTGACTATCGTTCTCAAGTGAATAGAACTGATTGGTTTTCCACATTACTTTTCGAGGGTTCGACTTTTTCAATTTCATGATGGATTTATGATAAATGTATAATACTCTTATTGGGATTTTATTTTCAAGAATAATATAACAACTTGAGAGGATCCCACTTGAAAATATATGCGCTAGTACTCTCTTATGATGAATTACCAAAACTACCCCTGGATTAATACAGAATACCACCTCTGCCCCTAGTTTGCTTTTGTCTTATTCTCCAAGTGTCCGTTGTTCAACAGTTGATTCTGGTACTTGAGATCGGTGAATCTGATGCATTAAAAACATTAAGGCACAAAACAAAAATTATGGAAAAGAAAAGTTTTTTTCAATTATTATTTTTATTATAAGATTCTCTACCGTTACTTTAATTTTTTTGGGGTTGATTTTCGACCGCCATTTTATTATTTATTTCTTAATTGTTAATTTTGTTTATATTCCGATGAAATATATTATATATATATATATATATATATTCTTCAGCACATATTCTATTAGTTTTAAATTTACAACCAAAACCACTGAGTAATTGTGATGTTTTTAGGTTTTAAAAATGTTCCAAGACATGATACTTCCTTTTTCAAAAGAAATTTCCATCATGCATAAAATATGCATCTAGTTTTCTTTTTTATAAATGTATTACGACAAAAAAAACTGATTTTTTTCTCGTAACTCTAGGATTTAGGACTTTAGCATTTCCTCAAAAAAATGATTTTTCCCGATTTAAAAAAAATTAATTAGCAAGATCTTACGTATTTTAGCAAATTTTGTTATGTGGTACCAAATAGTTATATATTTACAATCCAAGCGATATTTACACATGCATATAACAAATAAGTTTTTTTTGTTAAAATAAGATAGTTAATATTTTTTTTGGATTTATTTCTATTAGTTTATTACAATAATGTTTTATGATTTACTCTTCCCACCCTACAGTTATTTTCCTTCTCTATAACTCCCCCTCACAAATCCCTTACCTCTTCCCCTTCCTCCCGCATTCCTCTCTCTCTCTCTCTGTTGCGTCTTCTTCTTCTTCCGAATATAGTTAGGGCTTTCTTTGTCTCTGAGTTTTGTTAGCTTTCTCTGGACATCCGTACGTGATTGATTGATGTGTCGGCCAGAATCCGGATCTTGATGATCATCATCATTCATGTCTCCGGTGGTTAGCGAAATCCTCCGCTCCGGGTTTATGGTCGATTCCTCTCTCCGGCGCAGGACCCATCTCGTTCAATCCTTCTCTGTCGTTTTCCTCTACTGGTTCTATGTTTTCTCGTGAATCATCTCCTCCCTCACCTTCTCCAGCTATATAATATATATACACATGCATCTGTATTATACATATATCTAATCTTCGTCTCTATCACCTTATCTATATAGCCCCTGGGTCCTGCGTCTTCTCCATATATACATACATATATATAACGCTTTGATCGATAGGTTTTTGCTTGTTTTCTTCTGGGTTTGGTTTGAATCTTGAATATATATATATATATCTATATATGAATAAATCTGAAATGGGTTCGTCTTCGACGAGCGGAAACTGCTCGACGGTGATTCAAAACTCTGGGTCGGAGACAGATCTCCGGCTACAGGATTCCAATCTGATCGATGAACGGAAACGGAAGCGGAAGCAGATGAACAGAGAGTCTGCGAGGAGGTCGAGGATGAGGAAGCAGAAGCAACTCAACGACCTGACGATCCAGGTCGCTCATCTCCGTGAAGAGAACGGTCAGTTCGTGGCCGGGATCAACGTCGCGACGGAGCACTACGTCACTCTCGAGGCCGAGAACTCCGTCCTCCGAGCTCAGCTCATGGAGCTCAGCCACCGTCTCCAGTCCCTCAACGAGATCGTCGATTTCGTCGCCGGCGGGTACCGCGGTGGCGGAGCGGAGGCTGGCCTTCTCGAAGGTGGATTTCTCGAAGGAGTTGTGATGAACCCTAATTTGAATCTAGGGTTCTTCACCCAAGCACCGATCATGGCTGCGGCTGCTGCTGATATCTTCCACTGTCCATGATGACACGCAATGATCATCATCATCATCACCACCAACGTATCGTCAGGGGTAAAACTGGTATTTTGAAAAGAAAAACGTCGAATTGTAAGATGTTAATTAACTATATATATATAGGTTGTAGTAATATAAATATTGATGTGATAATGATGATATATTGGAAAAAGATGTTTTGTATACGATGATGATGGTGAGACGGTGATATATGAGTGGTAAGTGGATGGTCATTTCAGTAGTTGCTTTACTTAAATTTTATTTTTGTCTTTTGTTAGGGTTTCTGTTTTTCCTCGTTTGGGCGTATTTGGTTCCATGTATGATCGTAAATAAATAAATACAATGTATGTCACTCAAGCTCCGGTTTCCGGAGGCTTATATAATTCATTTTGAAGGTTATTGTAAAATTCATAATTTGATTAGAAATATAATTAAAAAAGTTGTATATTTTTCTAAAAAAATTAAAGTTTATATATTAATTAGTAGTTAACACAAAGTCTTTTAGTTGTACAAATATTTATAACAAAACCTTTATACTTTATTTCGTACCGTGACCATTTAATCATATATATAAATATATAATATAAGTAAAGTATTTTTTGTTTTTGTTTTACTTTATTGAAAGCTTAAAAATCTCTGTAAAGTATGGCTTTTTATTTTGAAAATCAGTAAGCCCAAATTTAATATATATATATATATATATATATATATATATATATAGGCCGAAATCTTGGGCTAGCATCATTGCAAGACTAATTTAGGGTGTCAAAATGGGCCTATACTGATATTCAAGATGGGCCGAGACGCGGCTTTTATTTCTTGTGGGCCTAAACTACATTTGGGCCTAATTGAGTTACACCACTTTCGACCCAAAAACACAATATTGCGACAATCTCTCATCAGTTTTTGATAAAAATAATATATTTTGGATTTTTTTTATAAACAGTTCAACGGGTTTTTGGTCCGATTACATCTCTCAGAAAACCGGAGAAGTTCAGGTGAATATCCCTCCCCATACTTAGATATATTGGATTTTGAAAAAGAGTTCACGAATTATTCGTTGATGACGAAGTCGAGATCGGTTTTAAGAACATTAGAATTCAAACTATTTAGATATGTAAAATATCATATTTAGAAATAATATTTTGACTTTGTCATTAAAATTTATAATGTAAAAATCAGAATTTTTATTGTTTAAATCGACAAAAAGTACTCTTGATCTATGAAAACTAAACTTTAAATACTAGAAAAAACACCTCTAACAAAAGAGTAAATATATATATATATATATATATATATATATATATATATATATATATTGTAAAGATTTAATAAGTTAATTATTTGTTTTAAGAATTATTGCATAAGGAGATAGATAACCTAATCTCTGACAAAGCTTTTGGCATTTCATGACTTCTATTAATTTTTAATATCTCACTGTTATATTTGCATCGCATATGAGAGGGGTTGAGCCAATACATTAATTAATATATTCAAAACAATAAAGCCCTTTTATTTTATTTTATTCAAACTAAAGCTCTTTTTTATTGGGGGAATTGGTCTATTGGTTTCGCCTCAAACCTTGGGATATGCTCAGTCTTTAGAGCAGAGGCCTGGGGGGTTCTGATCGGCTTGCGGCTAGCATGGCAAAGTGGGTTTCGAAAAGTTCTGGTGGAAATTGATAACAGATCTTTGGTGGATGCAATCAATAATCAAAAGGATACTCACACGGTAGATGGGAACATCCTCAAAGCAATTCACACTCTATTAGCCAAAGAATTGGAGGTTTCAATCTATCATATTTATCGGGAAGCTAACTCGTGCGCAGATGTCACACTCTTCCATTAGGAACATCTGTTTTTACTGCTGCTCATTCTCCACTGTCTAAGCTTCTGATTGCTGACAGACTTGAGATGACTACAGCTCGAAGTGTTTTGATGTATTGATCAACTTCTATTTATAAAAAAAAAGCTCTTTTTATTTTATTTTAAATTTAATTCGAGGCAGAACACATTTGGCTTTTGCGTGTAAAGGGGAAACAGAACACGCGATGCGCACTCCTCGTGGCCGAGAAGGCAGCGATCCTCCTTGCGCTCTTTTCATTTTTAATATTTTATCCTAAAGATTTTTTTTTTTAAATTCAAATAAAATAATATAATTTTATTAAAAGTAATTATTTTGGATATTGCTTCGCTTTGGGTTCACGGATTTAATTTTTTTTTCATCTTGTTCATTTTGTTGCAAACATTTTTTTTTTATCTCTTCAAATCTCGTCTCCACCGCCGTTAAAGAAACTAACGAAAACAAAGACGTCGAAATTTTGTGACCATTATTTTTTTTAATAGGGATTGTAACTTTGATAGTGTTGTAATAGACTTTAAGATTTATTTAAAATGTTAAGTTGATTTGATTGTGTTGGTGTTTAGAGTTTAGTGTTATTTTATGCAATATCTCTCTCCTAATTTGATAAGTCGTTGTGAAAATATTCGTAACTTTTTATAAAGGCATATTCAATCAAGTAAGATGAATTTTTATTTAAAATTTAGATAAATTGATGATTTATTATACGTAAAAGTATAATTATTTATTATAAGAATAAAAACGGATATGTCGTACGCTTATAAAAAAAAATTTAAAACACTGTTAGTGCTCGGATAATTTATATGATAAAGCCATACTTATGTTACTTTATTTGACTAAATGATCATTTTTATATTTATTAATCTAATTATTTCTTCAAACTTTCCAAAAATGACGAGAAAAGACAACAATAAACAAATAACATCTAGGCGAGAAAACAAAATCATAGATAAAAAAAATTAAAGATAGAGTAAAATTGTATTAATATAATTAGAAAAAATGATAACCGACTTTTTTAAATAATTCAAATACTAATTTTACTTCTGTAAACCATTTTAAAGGAAATGAAAAAAAAGCCTGGGGAAACTGGGAAAGTAAAAATAAAATAAAAACCCGAAAAAGCAAAAAAGAAACGGGGACGTGGCACAATTCCCCGTGCGCAAAAACGCACCACAAAACTGCGTCTCCCTTCCCTTCCCAATCTTTCTCGCAGATCGATTCCCGTCGACGGCCATCTCTGCCGTGTATCCACCGGACTTGGCTACCTCCGCCGTATCTGTCGCCTCGCGCCTCCATCGTCTCCGAATCTATCTTGTCGATCACCTCGTTTTGATCCCGCGGAACCCTAGCCTTTGTGGTGAATCCTCGATTTTGCATTCGTTTTGAATCTGTCTCTTTGGATATTACGTTTTTAATTTTCCTGCGATTACGAAGAAGATATTTGGAAACCTAGACGTTGTGTGTCATTGGATCATATCTATGATATGTTTTGGTTTGTGTGCTCTCCATTGATTCCAAACCATTTCAGATATATGTGTTTTTATTTTTCTGAGTAGTTCTATGCGTGTATCCACATGTTGGATGTATTTCTATGTTCTTCTCCAGTTTTTGGGATGCATTTCTATGACAATTAATTGCTGTTGATTACATGAACGGAGATTGAGATTAGGATATTCGTATTTGGATTTGTTCTTTCTTATATGTTTCCCTATTCGACTTCCTGAGGATTTCATTGGACTGTCTTACTGTTGTTTGGTTATGGAGGTTGTTTATCCCTCTGATCTGATGTTCTTGGTGGCTGTATGAATTTCAAATGTGATTGATTTGTATGCTAAAGGACCACAACCATCCGTTTGCTCCATTACCCGTCGCTTTCAGAAGTAGCGAATTCTCACGATTTCTGTTTTTCAACTGTAATGTCATTTTCAGGAGTGTAAGATAGGCTGTTATGACAGCCTAACTTAACGGCCCGGAGGTTGTATAAGGCAGAGAGTTCCACAAGCCCTTTATAAGACAAATAGTTGTATGTACCATTATGGGGTCAGTTTGCTGTGTAGCTGCGAGGGATAGTAATCTTCCCAGTGTACCCGGTGGTGGATCCCTCTATCGAAATTCAGTGTGCTCCCCACCTTGGAGTTTTCGACGGGACAACAGGAGGCGTGTGGCTGATGAGATCGAGGGTTCATCTTCTCACAACTCATATGTCGGGAGCAGGGGCATTAGCATGGATAAAGTATTGCTAGGTTCTGAACGGGGAGCTTTATCTGAAGGAGATAGTCCTCCAGGTCATCTCGGGACTCCTGCCTCACACAAGTTAGCACCTCATACAGAACTGGACGCAAATATTATCATTCCGCTGCCGTCAGGTAGTTCGTTGAAGCGATGTTTATCTTTTAGGGGAATGCGTTGGTTTTTTCTTGCAGTTTCTTCTATTTGGAAAGCTTTACTTAATGATAAACCAGAGTGTTAGTTGAGTCAGTCAGGTTCCTTGTATGTCTTCAGTTCAGTTAATGTGGTAAAACAGGGCAAAGAATTCCTGAATCCTGTTAGGATTAGTTTCAGTCCACATATTGATGACGACAAACCCTCTACACTTTTCTTGGGGAGGTAACCTTGGTTTTATTCATTATCTATATGTTGTGATCGATTGATTAGGTTGAGTTTCTTTAGAATTTAGAAGTTTTAACTTTGAAGTCCAATTTGTTAGGAGCCTTAAAATTGTTATGATTGATAAACTTTTCACTGCGATGATGTGAGTCCTTTTTGCTTGCTTGTACTTACATTTGTTAATAGCTCGTGTTGCTGTCGTTGATTATTAAATCTTTCTTGTCTCTGATGTGCTTTTCTGTGTGACAGAGGTATCTTTGACAAATCATGGTCCTACTGAGGTGAGATGAGCTGCTTGGCTTTGGTTTTCATGTTTCTCACAGGGAAGCACTACTTTCTCCGCTCTGCAGCATCTTATGTTCTTGTTGGCTCTTGCATCTTTCAGGTTAAGAGTTTAACTGATTCACCAGACATTGTCTCATCTACTCTACGAAAACCCTCTTTATCAGCATCTTTGCTGTCCGCTCCAGTCTGTGATCTTTCATTGGCTCACTCACGTTTGCTTCCTCCCAAAACAACTCCATCCACACGGGCACGACGATCACCTGGGCATCAGTTATTTAGGCAGGTTTCGGATAGTCAAATTCTGGGATTCAAATCCCCAAATAATTACTCAACTTCTGAAGGAAGGTCATCCTTTGTACTTTCAACCTGCAGCAATGATTTTGTGACTGGATCCCAGTATGCTTCTTCTGACGGTGGCTGGTCTATGAACGCCTTTTCTGAGCTCGTGGCATCTTCACAAAGAGAGAGATGGTCCTTTGATAGTGAACACTTGGACTCTGGCCAAAGGAAATTAAGCGGGTATAGCAGCAGATTTTCGTACTCTCCTGTCGATCATCAGACCTGTGGGGCTTGCTCAAAGCTACTAACCGAGAGGTCATATATTGCCAACTATGAACTTCCGATTGCTGCTGTTCTTGCATGTGGGCATGTTTATCATGCGGAGTGCTTAGAGACGATGACAACTGAGACTGAAAAGTACGATCCGATCTGCCCTATTTGCACAATCGGAGAGGAAAGGGTTGCTAAAATGTCAAGAAAAGCCCTAAAGAGACAGACAGAATTGAAGGCAAAGCACTACAAACGGTACAAAAACTTTGATGCAGATAGCTATGATGGCGAATGTGATAATTTTGTGTACGAGAAGACGAGAAAGCGAGATGGAAAAGCTCTGAAGATGGATCCTAGTTCCAGTAGGAGAGGCTCGTCCAAATCTTTCTTGAAACGGCAATTTGGTTCTATAGGCTCTAAATTGAGTAAGCCATTGTATAAGGACTCTGCATCAAAGAAGGGCTTCTGGTCTAGGCATCGCAAAGAGTAGAATACTTTTTCCAATCATCAGGTAATGACCCGTACACTTAAACACGAATCCTCAATAGTTCCCTTCACTTGGGAGAAAAAATGGTTTCTTAACAAGCATTCCCTCTCTGTTTTCCTCATTTTTAGGGCTTTGACCCGAGGCTTCAGCCTTGATTGGGGACGGCTGGTGACAAGAGTGAACCCTACGACGTGGATTGATGGTATAGTGAACCATAACCGGAACAGCAGTTTTTTTTAATATATTATGGTGTCTGCTTAGATTCGGATTGAAAGGTGGTTTCCGAGGGGGGAGGGAGGGAGCAGGAATTTTTAGTAAAGGGAATATTGGTTTTAGGAAGGTTTGTAAAAGGCAGAGCTTGTCTTAAACGTTTTGTTTTTGCATGCCCCTCCTTGTTTTCTTTTGTTTGATTCGCTGTTTTGTAGGGATGAATTTACTAATGAAAGAAACATGGCTGAAGAATTAGGAATTGTGACGAAGAATGTTCGGTCTTTATGACTTTATATCAACTAATTATCATGCATTTTGAGTGCATTGCTGCTGATTCACAGGAAACAAAGCTACAGACTATATCCAGAAGGTGAGATCTGATCAAAAGGATTGTCGTCCATTTTTTCGACTATGCTTCGAAGTCCTGACTTGTAAGAAGGATAGTGCAGCTTCACTCCGAGTTTGCTCTTCATGCGTGAGTTACTGACTCGTTTCTCACCTCTCAATGAACTCTCCTTGTGAGTTGCTTCGAAGCTCTCCAGAGATGGGTTTTGTTTGATTTTCCCGGGCCAGCGATTCTTGATCAGTTCGAGAGCGTACGCAAATACTTCTTCTCTTTGAGCTGGATCGTCATCAACTATGTTGTAGATTTCCCTGCAAATCGTCAAGGAGTACTGTGTTCTCTGTTTCCGGTTCTGGTAAAAGCATGTTCCTCTAAGAAAACCGATAATTCTAAGTTTTGTAGGAGCCATACCCTGGTGATGGCTTTTCAATTGCAGCTTGAAGAGCTTGGCATATGTCGTCGACGTGGACTCGAGAGGTGAATTTCCGAGATGCTCGTCTCTTTTGAGCTTTGGATAATGGCTCTTGCTTTATCAAGGTATCGATCGCGCTGCAGGGAAAAAAGAACGCTCTCTATGAGATAGAGGTTTAGCCGGAAGTGATGCATCCCGAGTCGCAGGCCAAAGAGATGCTTAGGCACAAACCTCCTACCAGGGCCATAGATACCTCCGAGTCGAAGGATCTGTGTAGAGACTCCGAGATCACGGCCCAGGTCTAACCATCCTTTCTCGGAATCTAACCTCATTTTGCTCGAGTGGGTTTTCGGGTTCGGGAGATAGCTGCAAGACGACGCGGTCTAAGAAAAAGCTGTCATCTTGATCGATGACGTAAAGAGAGAACGAATTCGGAAAAACTTACTCCTCGTTGATCCATTCACCACCGCAATCTCCATAGACACCTGCAAGAGACATTCACAGAGGTAAAGACTCCATAAACAAACCATAGTTTGCCAGTTCTCGTAAAGCAAGAGCAAAGAACTAGGGAAAAAAAATACTTGTGGACGATAGATAACAAAGCCATTGAAGATTTCCACCCGAGAGTTGGCTTCTCAGAAGTTCTTCATGCCGTAGCATCTTGCAAGAACAATCAGCATATGTCAGTAAGGTGGATATCAGCATGAACCTTGGCAAAGCTCGAGAAGCAATCTTTAGCAGACCGGATCACCGATGTCGGCAAGAGGCGGGATGGAAACGAGCAGGTGGGTGAAATCTTTCACGGCTTCGAGCATTCTCCATCTGATGAACGAGAAAGCGTTATCGGTATTTCGATCATGACGACAGATGGATCGTCGGATTTGGGACAAAGAACGCTTACTGAGGCTGAGCTGCAGAGAAGAGATGAACATCAATTCCTCTCTTTTGGAATTCCATCTTCTTCGCATCACTCCTGCAACTCCCTGAAACAGCCCTGCATCTCCATTGCACACTCACAACTGTTAACAAGATCTTTTCCTTCAGCTCGCGAATATCAACTCAAAATAGCACTGAGATTCATGACAAGATGTATCGTTCGAATTCATTCAGTAACAGCAAAACGAGCTTTGGGTAATTGTTGTTAGGATTCAGAAATCTGGGTTTTGTAGAGAGAGTGAGGGATCAGACCAGCCTGCATCTTTGAGCTTCTCAGCGAAGAATCCTCCGACGAAGCCCATCCCGAGAATGAACATCCGGTTCCGAGATTCCGGATCCGGTGAGCCGGACCGAGAATCTCCGACGAGTTTCAACGGCGGGAAGAAGTCGATCCTCCTTGTTTTGGTGAATTCTGATGGCATAGAAGGAATCCGGAGAGTAATCTCCGACGATGTCGCCGGGAAATGAAAAACCTCCATTGAAACCGACGGAACAGAAGCTCGGGGATCACCGGAACTTGAGGGGAGACTTCAAGCTTCTGCAATCGGTAAAAGGACGAAGAAAACTACGTGCTGTTTGTTTTGCTTGTTTTTTTAAAAGTAAAGCAAAGAATGCTTGCCGGTTTTGTTTCTAATACCAAAACAGCTTGTCGTTTCTTCAATCCACAGGTTAGTGCTATCCAATCCAACACACCTGCATTTTTCAATTTCTATGCTTTACATTAAAATCCAAATCTTTCTAAGAACAAAATTTTAAAAAGCGAAAAAAAATTCAAATTATTTGTAATGGGAGAATACATTCTGAGGACCCTAACGTTGGTCAACACACCCTTTGTAGCAGTTACTTGAGACTGATTGACCAAAACGGAAAGACGTTCTTTAGTGCTACACCGACACGGCGTGAAGTTTAAAGCTGCAAAGACATTTCGAAATCAAGCTCAGTTAAAACGGCGTGAAGTTCGAAGCTACGTTTCCCATAGCCCTTCTGCTCGGAGACGACGGAGAGAGTGATTCTTCCTGCGAATCTTCCTCTCCATTTTCTCGGTAACCAATCAAGCCTCCACGCAGAGAAATTATCAAATTCCGAAGCTTCTTCGCAGATTATCAATTTGATCGACGAGGAATTCTAAAGATCGAGACCGGTGAAACCCTAAGATGTGTCTCTAGTGGAAGGAAAAAAAGAAAGAAAAACAATGGGGAAACATTCCCCGAGTGTCTGGATCACAATGCAGAAGAAGAGATGGCCACTGATGATTCTGTTGTTCTTGTCGGTAACAACAGCAGGTGTGATTCTTGTGAGATCTACGTTCGATTCATGCGGCGCTGTTGGTAAGACGAGCAGCCGATTCGCGGCGGCAGAGGAGGGAGATAGCAGCGGCGCGAAGATCCGACCCGTTCCACCGCCGCTGAACCCCCTCGGTTTCATGAAATCGAAGCTCGTTTTGCTTGTCTCTCACGAGCTCTCGCTCTCAGGTGCCGATTCATGGTCCATGTTCATCTGGGTTTTTTGCTTTGGCTCCGGGAAACTCATATTTTTTTAGGTGATTTGATTGATTCTGTGTGATATCAGGTGGACCGTTGTTGTTGATGGAATTGGCGTTTTTGTTGAGAGGTGTCGGAGCTGAAGTTGTTTGGATCACTAACCAGAAACCACTTGAAGCAGATGGAGTGATCTATAGTTTAGAACACAAAATGTTGGATCGAGGAGTGCAGGTTCGAACATCAAATCTTTGTTTGGTTCATTCATATATGATGGGTGTTTAGGGCAAATTTAAAAGGATTTTTACCACATTACTGTTGCATTATCGATTTTGGGAGGCTTAATTCAGCATCTGATCCTTGCTTGTGGGTAGCATCCGCATTACATGTATGAAATTCTGGTTTAGATGAAGCTACTGATCTGATTTTTGGTCGAGTGTACACTTGTTCGAGTATGAGATTATGTGCTTTCGGTTAGTGGAAGACAGACATCATAGTAGAATTAGCTTTCGTTGTGTTTCTCATTGTCCCATATGCAGCTTTGAGAGTCTGCTTCTAAAATGTGTGGATGTTTTCCTGAAATTTATGAATAAGGGTTCAAAAGCAGTATAATTCATTATGGATTGACTTCCATAGTTGCTGTTTGTTCTTGTCGTAAGTTGTTACTGGTCGATCTTTTGGCTGTATATGGAAACCGGCATTCATTCTGCTGATATCATTTGCCTTTTGACATTTCGATGTAAATTCCTTGAATTTCTGCCAGGTCCTCTCAGCAAAGGGTCAGAAAGCCATAGATGCAGCTCTCAAGGCTGATTTGATTGTTCTGAATACCGCCGTCGCTGGGAAATGGCTCGATGCTGTTCTCAAGGATAAAGTTCATAAAGTTCTTCCTAAGATTCTCTGGTGGATTCACGAGATGAGAGGACATTATTTCAATTCAGATCTGGTTAAACACCTCCCGTACGTGGCAGGTGCCATGATAGACTCTCATGCAACAGCTGAATACTGGAAGAACAGGACGCAAGCTCGTCTCGGGTTCGTTTTCTCTGAACTGCCTCCTACTTCATGCATTGTTTTCTTATGTTTCGTTTCTCGGTGTTGGAAGCTTAACAGTGTACTCTTGAATGTGTCACGAGACAGGATTAAAATGCCAAAAACATATGTGGTGCACTTGGGAAATAGCAAGGAATTGATGGAAGTAGCTGAAGATAGTGTTGCCAAAAGAGTTCTCCGTGAGCATGTCCGAGAATCTCTGGGAGTACGGAACGAAGACATACTATTTGCCGTTATAAATAGTATGTCTTCTTTCTTTTACATTCTTTCCCCATCAGCATCATTCAGTTTCTTGGACAACAACACCATTGAAAGACAGAGTATCTTTGTTCGAATATGTTTTCTTTACGACTGCAGGTGTGTCGCGTGGAAAGGGACAGGACCTTTTTCTCCGGGCTTTCCACGAAAGCCTTCAAATAATCAAAGAGAAGAAACTTCAAGTGCCCACGATGCACGCAGTAATAGTAGGAAGCGACATGACCGCCCAGACAAAGTTCGAGACAGAACTGCGTAACTTTGTCCAAGAGAAGAAACTTCAGAACCATGTCCACTTTGTCAACAAAACCCTAACGGTAGCTCCCTATCTAGCAGCCATTGACGTTCTCATCCAGAACTCCCAAGCCAGAGGAGAATGCTTCGGGAGAATAACCATAGAAGCCATGGCATTTCAACTACCTGTACTTGGGACTGCGGCAGGAGGGACAATGGAGATTGTGGTAAATGGGACAACGGGTATTTTACACAATGTCGGGAAAGAAGGCGTAACGCCCCTCGCCAAAAACATCGTGAAGTTGGCAACGCATGTGGAGAGGCGACTAACGATGGGGAAGAAAGGGTACGAGAGGGTGAAAGAGATGTTCTTGGAACATCATATGTCGCACAGGATAGCTTCGGTCCTAAGAGAAGTGTCGGAATACGCAAAATCGCACACCCGCTGATGAAAGATCGAAACTTTTCAACTGGGTTTTCGTCGTTTCGCCAGGTTCGACTTCGATCTCTGTCTTGGTTGAATGAAACTATGTATCAATGGAGATCTGGTGGTTTGTACAATATTTATATGTAGCAAAGCAGCGTTGCTTCTTTCTCCTCCTCTCACGCTCTCAGTTTGTAGGAAATGCATTTCATGGAAAAGGAGAATGCTCTTTTATGATGGTTCCTGCAAAATAGAGTCCCCGATTAAATAGTTTCTAATTTAGAGAAATAAAGACCATGTATATATATTGAATTAATATATTTTATTTACGGTTATGCCCTTATCCAGGCTAAGAATCTACGGTTCTGCCACAAATGGGCCATTGTAATAGTCAACTCAGACGAAGACCAGTCGCTGACGCTGAACCGGCAAAATGTAACACGTGTAACAATCACAGCCGTCGAATTAATTTTCCTCCGCAATATTCTCGTGATAGTGCATATCTGAAGCCGACAAATCTCCACCGTCCGATAATCGATTCTTCTCCATCCTTCTCTCCTTCCCGAAAGCGAAAATATCTCTTCCGTCTCTCTCTCTCCCCCCCTCTCTCTGGATCTCTTTCTCTCCGTCGTCGTCGCCGGGAAGCAATGACAAGCTCCGCCGCTCCGTCGCGCAAGGTCTCTTTTTCTCTCTCCCTCGCTCTCGCAATCTATCTGATTAGGGTTTTGACTATTTGGCGATGGGAAACTGTGTAGGTTCTGAGCAAGATCGCGTGCAATCGACTTCAGAAAGAGCTCGTGGAATGGCAGATGAATCCTCCAACGGGATTCAAACACAAGGTCTCCGACAATCTCCAGAGGTAGCGGAATGTTTTTGGTTTTTCTGTAATCAGATAAGCATGCTGGTTTCGTGAATCGTAATTCTGCTTGATCGTGACCTGAAAACTTTCGGAGTGGCAGATGGGTGATTGAAGTTACCGGAGCTCCGGGAACTCTGTACGCGAACGAGACGTACCAGCTTCAGGTTGATTTTCCTGAGCACTATCCAATGGAAGCACCACAAGTGAGAATTCGAATTTCTTATGCGTATGAATTTATCTTCTGCCCATTTCAAAGTCGTAGAAGAAGTAATTTCCCAAGGAAGAGATTTTGAATGTCGAACTAGACGATGCGTACTCTGTTTCATAGGATTTAAACTGATATGCTTGAGGATTCTTCAAATTGAAATCACCTCTTAAACCATGGAAAAACGATCAAAGCATTAACAACGATGGAATTTGTTCAGATAATCTGTATACTAGTTAGTTCGGATGAATGAACAGAAGATTCTCCTTTTGCTTAGTATACTTGTGTAATAGGTTTCTTTTCTGCTTCATCTTGGGAGATCTTGATCTTTCGGGTTTGCATTTGTGAGTATTGATCATGCAGTAACCTGATTATCGACTGTTGGTTTTAGATTCATGTTTGTATTTGTAATTGTTTCCATTGTGATGCTTATTGTGCAGGTGATTTTTGTTCCTCCAGCTCCTTTGCATCCTCACATTTACAGCAACGGCCATATTTGTTTAGGTAATTATGCATCCTCTGTTTCATGATAGTCTCTCTTCTTTTTTTTTGCATCATCGTCTACTTTTCTTTATTCTTTAGGCTGCAATTCATTGCGTTAGCAAGCCCATGACACGATTCTTGTTTGCCTGTGTGTGGTTTGTGCATGCAAATCCGTGAGTACATTTCTGAGCTGCCTTTTACATGCCCTTTTCTGAAATTCGGCATGAGATGTCAATCGTTTCCTATCAAAGCATCTGGCGTATTGTTGAATCTGGGTTTAGTGTCATAGTTATCCGGGTTTCCTTACTTTTAAAATACTGGATAAGAACCCAAGTCAGAGTTGCTTCAATTATTAGTTAATCTTGTTCTTGTTCAAGGGCAAGAATCTGTAACAGTGTTGCATGTTTCAATTAGAGCTTCTCTTCCACCTCGTTTAGCAAAAGTTTTAACTTTTTAAACCACACAACGGATGTTTTATATTGCAGTTTATGTCTTGGTGAGAATTTTCATCAATGCAGAGGTGAAAAAATGTTTGGTTTTGTGGCATGCATTCAAATGAAATCGAAAGTTATCTTTTTATATTGCATTATTCGTGCAGATATTTTGTATGATTCGTGGTCTCCAGCCATGACCGTAAGTTCAATCTGCATCAGCATTCTCTCCATGTTGTCAAGCTCGACCGCTAAGGTAAGTCCTCTGTTCCCGACCTTATGTTCCGAAACCTTTCCTTCTCTTCCTGCTTAGGTCATATGCTCGTATTTGATTTCACCACAGCAACGCCCGGCCGATAACGATAGATACGTGAAGAACTGTAAAAACGGAAGATCCCCGAAGGAGACGAGATGGTGGTTCCATGACGATAAAGTCTAACGTCGGCCATCACTCTTTGTAATCCAATCCACTGTATCATATTCCATCCGGTCTTGAGGTTTGTCTAATTCAATCCAAAGAAAAATTTATGTATCTGCAAAGTTTGAGGATTAACCCTTCTCCTTTCTGGATCCGTGGTGTAAAATACCGCAAATGACACCGATCAATCTGACTGATTTGCACAACGAAACCCCTTTCGAGTGTTCTTAGGGGGCGACGGTTGTGGTTTCCGGCAGTTGTGGACGATTGAAAAATCGACTGATCATTTGATAAAACACCATTTTTTTTAAAAATCAATTTTAATAATAAAATTACCTTTTAATTTTAAAAAATTAAATTGATTAACTTTCTAATTTAAAATTTTATTTTATAAATTTAATAAATAATTTTTTTATCAAATGATAATAAAAATTAATTATAATTGTTTTAAAAAATCTATTAAAAACATATATTTTTTTTTAATAATTTACATCAAATCGCAATCGTAGTAAATCATCCGATTTTAATCGTAATTATCTGCAATCTCTACGACAAACCGTCAACCCCGTTTGCAATTGTCAAAAATACATTGAAAATACCGATATTTTCAATTGCAATTGCAGCGGTATGATTATTTTATTAAACTCTAAAACCTTCTACTTCCAACTTCCAACTGCCAAAAATATATTTTACCTAATCTTTCTGACTTTTCTACTAGTTGGGGTGGAAATTGTGGGTATTCGAATATCGAATAATCAGTCTACAATGAGATTATGGAGAAACTAGAGTAAAGCTTCGAATACAATGTCAGCGCTTTTCATCTAGGAAACCGTTATTTCTATCTTCTTCGGGATATGGACTAACTTATAAAACCCGACAAACCTTATTCCTCATCTGCATATGCAGCGGCGACAGCGACATGTTTAGCTACAGTTGTCTGGAGCTCCTCCTTCCTCCCGCCCACGGGCTTGTCCACTACTTTTCCATCCTTTATGAACACAAAGGTCGGCATGCATTGCCACCACTTCAAACTCCCGAGCCACGCTCTGTTGGCAAATCCGCGATACCCTTATGTCGACAAGTAACATAATATGAGTTGAATGGGCGAGATGTATGTACAAGAAGAGTTCTATCACGATCTGGACGATCGCCATTATGTTAGAAAACGTCAATTACCATATCTGCCTGTTTACCATAAGAGACATTCACGTTCACAATGCATGCTGCATGAATTATCCATCAAAAATCCATTACGAAAACCTGGAAACCCATTCAGAATTTCAAGTTTTTTCGAGGAAAAGGGATGAAAAATGGCAGAACCTAACCAAAAAAAAAATACAGAATTGCTTCGCTGAAATCCAGAGATCTTCCCGCAGGAAACAAGGAAAAAAACCCTAAATCAAAGGGGGGGGGGGAACCCCAAGACGCACGAAACGCATGAACAACGAAACCCTAATTATCAAACTGACACAGAACATAGAATGTACGACAATGCCAATGGATCGAAGAAACAAAGACACCCACCAATTTGTTGGATTCCATGGCCTTGCTGAGATGTTCAGTCCAGACATCGATCGCGTCTTCCGCCGCCATTTTCGTCTTGCTTCGAATCTGTGCAAAAACCAAAAAACTCTGATCTCTCTTGATTAAAAAAGAGAGAGATTTATGGACGAAGAATATCTGTCATTAAACTAAACCTAATTAAAGTGATTTCTAATGCAAATAGTTAAACTATACTATTTTTAATTAAATTAAAACAAACAATTGTAACTAAATATAATAATTATATATATAAAAAATCTCAATACTTAATTAGTTTATAAATTATGTATAGATACCCTGAACACATATCGAATATACTATAAATCTTCCGAGAATATATACGATCCTCATGCTTTTATTTCTTAAACCCGCAAAAACGTTCTTCCATTTGAAACCACCCTTGTGATTTGCTTCAACCGTAAGATTTTATTTAATTCCCTCTTGTCTAAATAACAAAAAAAATCAATAAATAACTCATTATGTATGTATATTACATTATTTTTCGACAAACATATATTATTTTTAAAATATTCTTTTTAGTAATCCAATCACATTATTGTTTTGGTAAAATATGGCAATAGTAGTATGCATTCAAACTTGGAAAAAGTGGGAGTAATTTCGATTCAAATTAATTTAATGATTAAATTTAATAAAAGTATGAAATCGAATTAAGTACTATTCGGTTCTATTTGTATTTCTGATATTTAAACCTAAATAACCAAACTCTAAGTCAATCTTGGTACAATCCAATCCACCCCTCGCACCTTTCATTTATTATCCACAAAATCATCCCTTCCCATAGATTCTCCCTTCGCTTTCTTCGCATAAAATCTGCCAAAAAATGAATATCCAATTGGAAAGAGGTTTAAAATAATTTAGTTTATTTATTTTTATTCAAATAAATAAGGAATTAAAATTTTATCGATTTTTCAGTCTCTCGTGGCTTCGGATTTCCCCTGCAATGGCGCTGCTTCATACAGTCTCTTCGCCTTCTTCTTCGTCGTCTCTCACTCCGACTTCTTCCTTTAAAACCTTCTTCAATCCTGGATCTGTTCCTCTGCCGTCTCCGTTGCTGTTGCCGTTGATTCGTCAGAGTTTCAGCCGCCGGCGATGCAAACTCGCTTCCTTCCGGTGCTCGTCGTCGTCGTTCTCCGAGAAGCACCACAACGCGAATCCGGCTAAGTCCGATGACGTCACCGAGCTTCCTCTCTTCCCTCTCCCACTCGTTCTCTTCCCTGGCGCGATCCTCCCGCTCCAGATCTTCGAATTCCGGTATCGAATCATGATGCACACCCTCCTACAGACCGATCTCCGGTTCGGCGTCGTCTACTCCGACGCCGTATCCGGATCCGCCGCCGAGGTCGGTTGTGTCGGCGAGGTCGTCAAGCACGAGCGGCTGGTGGACGACCGATTCTTCCTCATCTGCAAGGGTCAGGAGCGGTTCCGTGTTACAAATCTCGTCCGCACGAAACCCTACCTCATCGCGGAGGTGACGTGGCTCGAGGACCGGCCATCGGGGGAGGAGAATCTGGAATCCCTGTCGAACGAGGTGGAGGTTCTGATGAAGGAGGTGATTCGATTGTCGAACAGATTGAATGGAAAACCGGAGAAGGAGGTGCAGGATTTGAGGAGGAACCAGTTCCCGACGCCGTTCTCGTTCTTCGTCGGGAGCACGTTCGAAGGAGCCCCAAGGGAGCAACAGGCATTGCTGGAGCTCGAGGACACGGCGGCGAGGTTGAAGAGGGAGAGGGAGACGTTGAGGAATACGCTCAATTACTTGACCGCTGCTTCTGCAGTGAAGGATGTCTTCCCATCGTCTTAGCACTTATTCGGTATATAGAATTTCTGTTTGCTATTTTCTACGTTATTTGAGTAATTGAATACACAAAATTTTATAAAACTGTATAAAGTTTGTAAGATGGAATCATTGTAGATTACAGTAGTTTTTGGTGATATTAGATGTTGGGTATTGGATAGGATTGTGGATCAAAGGATCATGGAAAAGGGTTGCTTTCTTTTGATGTTCTTGATAGAACCATAATTCTCTGCTTCTTGAGATGGCATTTCAATTAGAGAATTGAAAAATGCAATCTCGAGTAATTGATCTAATAGGGATTTACTTGATTGCTTTAAGATTATGCGAAAGATTGCTTACTTTAAGGTTCTTGATATCAGATTATTAGAACTGGAACATGTGGTCACTATTCTTGATTGTTTCATCTTTGTACAAGATCATATGTTGTATTTACATGGCGCATCATCTTGGATTATTGGCATTCTAATGGATAGGGATAAGATCGAAGCAGTTGTTTGGGAATTGAATGTTTGGGGTCGGTAGGGTATGATAGAGTTTGGATCGTTGGATTGGCCTTGTGTCGTTGGATTGGCCTTGTGTCGTTGTGATCATAAATACGGGAAAGATTAGTCTCGATATTGTACTACTTTTGTGGCATTCTTACTGCTTCTTGATCGGAGCTTCATCTACCATATGACAGTTCGAGTTTAAGAGCGTGAATCTATCAGTCTAATTTCATTCAAGCAACGTGTGATACTTCCGGCCAAACGTCGGGGGGCATTACCCTTAACTACGGGTGGACACGGCTCGGCTACTCGATTTTTTGTGTCCGACCTCGGTCTCTCTCTCCTGGAGTGTCTCAGTTGGATTACCCGGTTTTGACATTGAGGGTCGGGTCTCCAAGTTTCGGATCTGGGAGGCCTGCCATAAGGGTTCACAAATCTGTGGACTACCCGATGGTCGGGGAACTGCGAGAGACTGGTGTGGAAATGAGACGAAAATAAGGCGAAACTAATCCGGCCCAGAGGGATCCTATCTCTGAACCCTATTATTCGGACCTAAACCCCAGTTTCCAATTGTCTTTACACCCGATCCGATTCCCAAAATTCATGTCTATTTTTCTGTCCAACCCTAATTTGAAGTTCTCACTGTCGAGGGTTGTGTCTCGAATCCTCGAGTTGAGGTGTACCAGACACCCGGTTGTATAAAAGGATTTCATATGGTTAGTTAGTAGTTACTTAAGATGGCTGATCCACTCAAAAAATTTCGGAAGATTCTCGAATCCTTCAGGTTCAATAGATCCGATTTCTTGTGTAATCTATAACTGTTTATGCGATATTTGTAGAGTTTGAATTCTACTTCTCGCGGATAATAATAGGCTAATGTAAGATCTCATATCATATTATTTAAATTAGTGGCTGTCGCTAATGGAAATAACGCAGAAGGACAGATAGATAGAGAGTCAAAACCAAAGTCCCAACGGTCGTCTCAACCACACGACAAGAAGCTTCATTGAGTGGGCTACGTCCTCTTTAATGGCCACTTGTTCCCTTTTCCATCTATCACACACACACATATATATATATATATATATATATATATATATATATATATTTATAAACGGGTATATCCACACAAATTATATTAATTGATAATCTTAGTGTGTATAAATATCATAACCCCACTAATCATTATCCAAAAATAAATCCATTTGCGTGTACGCGGTTTTCAAGTCTTCGCCGTCAAACCCGACCTTCGATTTCCTTCACCTTATATAAACACATCCTCCTTTGATTTTCCATCAACATCATCCGTTCACACATCACGCATATTCATCACAGAGACATATAATAGAATCCAAGAGATTTGTGAATCCAGAAAGAAGTTGAATCTTTCTCTGTCTCTAAAGCTTTCCGACATCAGTTCCAAGCTCTCAGGAACATGGCGCAGAACCAATCTCCTACCCAGTCCAAGCAAGGTATACATAGAAATAGATTCTATCAACTGGTTCATGTTTGGACTCTGTTATTTGCTTGATTTCAGAATGTATAATTCAATGAACAGAGAATCTGGGTCTCTGAAATTTTCAGTTTTACAACGGAAATACGTGTTCTTGATCTCATCTGATGAACAAGTTTTGATCTTTGCATCTCTCTTGGTGCAGAGCGATTCGTGGAGATACCCTTGAACATCGAACAAGGCTCAAGAACAATGGCGAACCAGAGGAAGAAGAACCAGTGGGCTACAATCATTATATGCATCGCCTTCGTCATCATTGGTCAGTCCATCGCAAGAATCCTCGAGAACTTCTACTACGAAGAGACTCACCGTCTCGACTACGACGACCGGCGTCAATACGACGGCGCGTGGACTCAATCGCTGCTTCAGAGCGTGGGGTTCCCCCTCCTCATCCTCCCTTTCCTCCTCTTCCCTTCCAAGAAACAGAGCAACCCTCCTCCCATTACTAGTGATCGATCCTCCGTGAAATACCTCGCCATTATATATCCTTGCATCGGTATAACAATGGCGGCTCATGGAAGACTCACAACCACTGCAAAGCTCAACATACCCTTTGGAATCTTCACTCTCATCTACACCACCCAGCTCTTATTCACCTCCGTTTTCTCAAGAATCTTCAACAAAACCAGATTCAACCGATGGATCATCATCTCTCTCGCCTTCTCCATTGCCACCGGAGCTCTCACCCTCTCCTCCTCCTTCGGCGGCGAACCAGACGAAGCAGAGGAGAATTGGGGAAAGGGTTCGTGGTCGGCGTTGTCCGCCGCCGCTATCTTCTCCCTCTTGCTCTGCAACGTACAGAACACTTTCGATTCAGTGATCTCGAAAAGGGAAGAAGCCAAAAACAGGAAACCCAGCTTCGCCGTAGTGATGGAGATGCTGATACTCGCTTCCCTCGTCGCCTCAGTCATGTCCGCGGCGGCTCTGCTGATCTCCGGCGAGCACCACGATCTGAGGAGAGAGATGGAGGGTTTCTCCAAGGGAAAAGGTTCGTACGTGTTGGTAATGGCGGGTCAAGCAGTGGCGTGGCAGATCTATTGGGTCGGAATCGTGGGTTTAGTGTTCGTCGTCTCTTGCGTGTTCTCGAACATCATCAGCGTCATTACATGGCCCATTGTGTCGGCTCTTGTGGTTGTCTTCTTCGATTTCATGGACGATGATTTCGACGCATTCAAAGGAGCCGCCTTTGCCGCCGCCCTTCTCAGCCTCTCCGCTTATGTCTACTGGTTGAAGAAAGAGGATAAGAAGGGTGATGACGTGGCCACGAACTAGGTTTAAAATTTTGTTTTTCTTTTAAATTTGAAAAAAAAATACGCTAATTTACTTTGTTTTTATTTCATGTTCTCATTGTTTGTGTATTGTAGAAATGTATATTCCTTTGTTCAGTATTTAATTTGTTTGGTATTTATATGAAGATAAATGTGAAAATGAGTTCGTGTGAAGATTTGTATTTATTAAAAATAATTTTTTAGACAATTTTCAACATATTGGATTTAAAGATTAATTTATTTAATTTTAAAAGTATATTCAATATACATCTATATCGCATTGCATTTAAGTATAAGTAGATCTTGTTTCTTTTTATAAGGGCTAAAATATTTTATCCATTCGATTCAATTTTTTTATAACCAAATTTTATTTAATATTCATGGCCTTCAAAGGGGATGCCGTTGAAACTAAATTCATGTGGGCCCAACAACGAAAAGACTAATTTAGGCCTTAAAAAACAAGAAGGCCCAAGAATCAGACCACTAATATACGTAATTCTAAGGCTGAGAGGGTTGCTATTAATTAATATTACAAAATAAATTGAACGGGTAGTCTTGTATAAAAACAATTGCGTATAATTTTTTATAACAATTTTTTTGCTTATTTTTAATATTGTTACTGTATATAATTACTGATTCAGGTCATAATTAAATTAAGAAAAGTTATTAAAATTTAATACAGTTTAAAGTTGGTATTTTTTTTTATAGAAAAATGAACAAAACCACCAGTTTACTGTGGATTGACATGATAACAGTAAACATAAAACCTGCGATAAGGACAAAAAAGAAGCGACAGATTAAGCAAAATCAGAGGAGACGATCATTTAACTGTTAATGGGCGTATAAAAAAGTCGTATATATAATCCAATCACTAGAGATGAAAAGGTCACATGTCGTGATTCAGAAACAGTACAGTATTTAGGAAACCTCCATCTTCTTCTCTGCCACTGTTCCATGTCCTAAATCTAGCAATATATATATACACACACACAGTCACATGTATATATACACGCACATATACATATTATATGTAACATATGATATAGGTACATGCGTGTCTGTCTACGCTTAAACCTACAAGCGAGTGTCGTGACTCGCAGCAAATCTACTTACTAAAAATGATAAATAAAAGATATGGAAATATATATATATATATATATATATATATATATATATAGGATACATGTATATATACATATGCATGTGTCTCACTTAACCCTACAAGCGAGTGTTGTGACTTGTAGCAAATCTACTTTCTAAAAACGATACAAAGACATGACACAATATATATATGTGTATATATATATATATATGCTTTAAAGATCCATCAACCGATTAACCAAATGATAGTCACATCCATGCAAGTTATATTCAAATAGCTAAAAACTTATAGTTCTGCGGGGAAGTGGTTGATATAAATGTCCGTATTACTAACCATTTACATCAATGTAGGTCTCCAATGTATTCACATGTATATATATATACATGCATATAAACACACACATACATGTCCACCACACGTATGTATAACCAATTGAAATGTATGCTATAATTAAGCTAAGGATATCATTCGTATTAATGCATTAAAAAGATTGAAAGCAGCCATGGGCACTTCCTTTTCTCTTCTTACCATCTAATTATTATTTCCATTTAAAAAAAAGAAATAAAATTATTTTATTTTCTTTATACATTTTCTCAACGGGAAAGCCGGTCTAAAGATAAAATCGTATTTTTATTATAAATATATATATATATATATATATATATATATAATATTTGAAATCGTTTGTTTAATGGAACACGAAATTTAGGTGAACACTATATAGATCCGGCAAACAAACGGATAAACTGGGAAAAAGCAGCTTCGAGTTCAACACCAACCAGAAAGTAACTTAAAACTAAAACATATCTGTCGTAGACATAAGTCTACGGGCAATTTATGACAATCTACGAAATATTCATGAAAAAAAAAACGTAATTTAGCAATGGATAATACAACAATAACCACATATCCATTAATTACGCAACGGAACAAATTGATATATATATATATATGCCAACATATAAATGTAGATCGCATTTGGAAAGAGGAACATGAATAAAAATTAAATTAATTATGAAAAACACACATTTAGGAAATCCATCTTGAAATTCGAACATTAACGTGATCATCATCTAAACATACGACGGTGCATGTGAATCAGCACTAACATTCTAGCTAGGGGGAGAGATCATCACATCGCCCGAAAAATAGAAGAGACATATAACAAAAACTCAAATAATCATATTATCTCATAACAACATTCCTCACCTTATAGGATATCATAACTATTTCGACCGACGGATCAGTTATCATCATCATCGTCAAGACCTCGGAGGTGGGAAAAATGGCGTACTGGTAATAAATGCGTTAAGCGGTGCCGGGTAAAGCGACGAAGGGTCAAGCAATGAAGCGTTGTTGTTACCGGCTGTAACCCCCGTTGGAACAGCGTTTGCGGTAGCGGTTGCGGTTAAGGCCAAGAGGTTGAGGTGTTGAGAGCTGTCAGCTGCGGCTGCGTTAGGGCTTGAGCTGTAGCGGTTGTGAGAGTGATCTGGTCCCTGGTCGTAGAGAATGCCCTTGAAGACATGTCCTCCGATGTTCACAGCCGTTTGATATGCGTACTCTTCCTCCCCCTCGTCGATCGAGCTTACCCTAATGCACCGGAAAACCGCCGGAGAATTCACCTCCGGTGGAAAGTGACCAACCGCCAACCCTAGTTTCACATCAAATCAAGAAACAATGAAAAAGACCTAAGCTTTTTTTTTTGTCTGTTCTTGGTGTATTTGGTCAAAGAATGATAAGATTTTTGTATGACGAATTGAGTAAAAATCAAATCTTTAATGTTGCATTTGTGTTTCAAGAGATCAAAATTCAAACCCATTTCGTGTGTCGTCAGGTTTACTAAGGAACAGCCGATGGAAAAGAAGCGATCCAAATCAAACAGATGAAAAAAAAAAGTCGCACGCAAATGATGTTGCACTTGTCAAAAATCATTCATAATTGCATGTTTCCATGAAACAAAATCACGAAATTCATACCAACCCTTTTGATGAATTCGCCCAATTGCCGGACTCATGATGTAAAAAAGAAAACCCTTTCGATCAAAATCATAATTTCACTTACCCGAAGAACTCGCATTCACTACGCGGGTTACAGCAAGAGATCCTCCTCCTCCACTTCCGCCGCCTACAAGGTCAAGCTCTTTATCATCATCACCATCATCTCCGTTACCGCCGTCACTGCTCGGCTCTCTCAGCCGTTTGACGTTATCTCCGCGGCTGCAGCCTCCGCCTTGCTGCTGCTGCTGCTGCAAAGCGGCGAGCTGGGCCTGGCGCTCGCGGCGTTTGGCCGCCGGAACCCACGTGCTCTTCACGTGCGTCGAACACTGAAACCCTCGGCTCTTACAGCAAGTACGGCATCTCATGTGGCCACAATCTTTCTTGGCTTGGTTCCCACAGTCTTGGCAGTTCATGCCTCCTTGTCTCGTGACCGTGAACCCAGCAGAAGATCTCAATGACTCATCGGAGACAACGTTGAAGTAGAAATTCCGACAGCGATTGTTGTTGCTGTTACTGTTATTGTTACTGCTACTGCTTCCACTCGGGACCATGCCAAACGAGTAGAAGTTCGCTGGAGAAATATGCTGTTGCTGTTGATGTTGTTGTTGTTGTTCTTGGAAATATTGTGGAGGCCATATCTCAAAGCCCTTGTTGCTGTTGATGTTGTTGTTGTTGGGGTTGTAGATCTCGTCCTTGTATAGATAAAGATAGTTACTTTTGTCTTCTTGATCTTTTTCTTGATGATGATTATGATCTTGCCTGTTGTTGTTACGATCTCTCCCGCCTCCTAGATAGAAAAACCCAGCCATTTCTTCCTCCCACCACAACCCATATCACAGAGAGAGAGAGAGAGAGATTGTCTGGTCCGTGAAGGGTTTGGTGAATCTTTGGAGAAGATCTTGAATTTTTTGTGGGTTTGCGAAGGATTTATACCTTTTTTTTAATTGTTGTGACTTTGCTTGAAGTGTTGTTGCTGTTCTTGAGAGAGAGAGAGAGAGAGAGAGATTGGAGCAGATGAGAGTAATGATGGCGAGAGAATTAGGAAACTGCAAACGCCGCCATGGTTAATCTTCTGAGAGAAATTTTCTCCTTCGCCATTTAATGCAAAACAGAAAGAAAAAAAAATCAAAACTTTATGATCTCTCTCTCATCGAGGACATGAACAATTTACTTCTTCTGCTGATTTTCTTTGGAGAGAGAGAGAGAGAGGGAGGGAGTTTGAGAGAGAGAGAGTTTAAGACATTAGTACTATGAAGATCTTGGAGCTATGGGCACTTCTCTGCAGTTGTCTTCCAGTTTGAATGAATCCTAATCACATAAATATCAGACTTATTTAAATAGAAATTTAAAAAAAAATAGACTCTATTTTATAAATCTTTTAACTATAATTGAGCCAAAAAGAAATTGAAAAGATGGATAGTTGTTTTGTATTTCTTAATTATTTTTTATGTTTTTTTGTATGCACAGGCAATATATACAGTGGTGTAAGAAATAATGATAATCACAACTGTAAAATTAACATTTTTAGTGGTTAGACTTCTGTATACACTTGGAGAATCGAGTCAAATATCCACTAAAATGAAAGTTTTTAAATATTGCTCAAACCATTATCAATTGAAAATTATGACCCGTTTCTATTGTAATATGTAAATTAAATTTGTCGACGTGGATAATAATGACATTAAATTTAAATTTACAACAAAGGTAAAAAATAAAACTAGTTAAATTTGATGCACTGCCACACCGTCGATTTGAACGGTCGATGTTTTTCCACGTGGCAGAACATAAGCTTTTACTATTCGTCCCTCCCCCCCCCCCCCCCCCACCCCC